TGTTAGTCTCCTGGAACATTCCCTGGGCAGCTTTCCTTCCTTGATGCCATAAACGTTGGTTCCCTTTGTGGGAGGAGAGATCGAATAAGAGCTTGAGTCTGGGCCAAGGTGTAATAGCTCTGGCTCCGATGGTGAGAAAAGGACAAAATGGAAAAACAGACTTTGGAGCCAGACAACCCTGTTAGCTCTTCTGACCTTGAAACTTCAGGTCAGCTTCCTCGTCCCTGGCAGGAGGGTGGCCAGGAGACCTAGTTCGAATGGTTCTCAGAGAATCGGAGGAAACAGACGAGTCAATCACATGGCGGTGCCTGTGTAAGGCACGTAGTCGGCCGTCAGCAAATAACGGCTCTTGTCGATGTCCCTTCCTCGTCCGGCTGCAGCCTTTGTCCTAAGCTTTGTCCTCCTGTGCAGAAAACATGTACAGTGCGTGGAGGGAAGTCCCTTAGCTCCGGTCCGGGCTGAAAAACAGCAAGATGCATGGGGTCATACTTTTTTATTTTTTAAATATGTTTTTATTTATTTTAGAGAGAGAGATGCCTCCTGCACGCCCCGTACTGGGTACCAGGACCACAACCCTGGCATGTGCCCTGACCGGGAATCAAATCTGTGACCTCCGGTGCATGGGACTCGTGAGATCGGCGTCCCTCGGACCCACGGAGCCGCCTTGCTGTTGGCCGGTCATTTCGTGGCGAGGGGACCAAGATGTCGCAACGGAGGCCGCCCGCGCGAGCGCTCGCGTTTCCTGCCCGGGGTTAGAGGTCATGTGTGGACCAGCTTCGCCCTTTTCAGCACAGCCACCCTCCCTGCAGCTCCCCCCCCCCTTACCTAGCGACCTAAGGGCTGTTATCGCGCAAAGATAAGACAAGAGGCAAAACAGCGTATTTCTTGTTCCTGTGACTCATTCACCTTCAGCAGCAGCCACTGCCTGAGTCGCCAGTTGTGCTGAGGTTTCTTCTGGGCGGTGCGCACACCTCACGCTCCCAGTGCCCAGGCCCCACCGCCTTTTCCTTTTACCGTCTGACTTGTGGATTGTAGAGGGTGGCGTGTACGGTGTGTCTGGGGCAAGTGCCCATCGCCTGGCAGGGACGCCTTGTGGGCGCAGAGGCAGGTGCTCCTCCGCAGGCCTGCTGGTCTGCACACACGGCTCAGCTGGAGGTTTGCACACACGGCTCAGCTGGAGGTTTGCACACACGGCTCAGCTGGAAGTTTGCACACACGGCTCAGCTGGAAGTTTGCACACATGGCTGGTGGTTTGCACACCCAGCTGGAGGCGGCGCTCTGGGAGGGGCCTCGTGCTGTAACTCGCTCAGTTCAGTCGCCAGGAACTTACATTAAAAGTAGGTTGTGCTTTTCACACAGATACAGGCAGTTTAAAGGAAGAGCGAGGTTCGGAGAATGTACTAGTATCTCTAGGATCAACTGGTGTCTTTGAAACAGTTAAAGCTTGGGGACTTGAGGCTACAGAAGGATTTGCTGGACGGAGTAGAATTCCCTGCAGTCATGAGATAAATGACGTGCAGTTGTGCTGTTTTTTGCTGGTGAATAGAGAAAAAAGATCGAAAGAATAAGATTCTTCAAGATTGTTTCAAATGAAATTGGTATATTGCTAGAAAGTTCTCAGTTGTGTGTGTGGGGGGGGAGGGGCGGGGAGAGGCGATGCTACTTTGTAGGGAAGTGAGTGTTTGCTTCTAAAACAGTTCGGAGTCCAGGAGTTGAGAAAATAATTGTAAGGGTTTCAGCAAGGAAAAGCTTTCAATATAAACCTGTGAGATTTAGATTGTGATAAGATTTCCCTATTAAACACTGGTCGGGATTGGAGCATCCCAGAGTCCACTGCGAGTAGAATTTGATAAGGTTACACCAGAGGGGAGCTGAGAAATCATCATCATTCTCTCCTGTTCTAGATGAGGAAACTGCGTGGCAGAAAGAAGTGGGTGCCTGAGCCACCCCGCAGGTGCGGCCTTGCGCCCACAGTGGCACCTGACCGACAGGCCACTAGGCTGGGCTCCGTCCTGTCTTAACGCTGCTCAGGCTGGTGGAGGGTCTCCCCTGAAGCCTGAAGGGAGGAGGCTGTCCTGGAAGGCGCCCCGGTGCTTGCTTCACGGGGAGAGGTGAGGCTCCGAGTGTTGTACCCTCAGTCCCTGGAGAGCTGAGCTGTAAATACTGTGAAATGACGGCTTAGCCCAGGCGATGTGGCTCAGGGGTCGAGCATTGAACTGTGGAGGTCAGGGTTCGATCCCAGTCGGGGCACAGGCCCAGGTTGCGTGCTCGGTCCCAGTGTGGGGCCTATAGGAGGCAGCCGATCAGTGATTCTCCTCATTGATGTTTCTCTCTCTCTGAAGTCAATAAGAATATACGTATTTTAAAGATGACAGCTTAGAACCAGGCGAAGTCTCCGTGCTGTTCCTACTGTCAGTCAATTAAGTCTGAGTGCGTTTCAAATGCTTGTCAGTACAAAGGGTTTCCCATTGGCCTCGGACAGCATGTGTGGGCAGCAGTGGTGAGTTAATAGAGTCATAGGCTGGTTTTCAGGCAGGGACGGGAACTTTTATTTGTAAATTGCTTTACTTAAAACACACTCACGGTATTTCCTTTTATCTGAGTATTAGAAAGATTACCAAGAACATTGCACGTCTGCAAAAGTGTGGCCGAAACTCCAGAGCTGCTGCCATTTCTCCCGTGTTCACGTTTCCCTGTGATCGTGAAACTTGGTCTGCTGTGAGGGAGCGGGACTGACTCACAGAACGGGCGTCCTAAAGAGACAACTTGGATTTTTGTTTGAAAAGTACAAGTCAGCTGTTCAAGATTATACTTAGTGTATCTCATTAAACAAGCAACGGAAAACACTGTCTAGAGGATTTTGTCCCTTTGTTTCCTGTGAGCGTTTTGTTGACACTCCGCCTGTTATTGAAAAGGTTTGAATTCTGTCACTTGGTCACTCAGAGCTGCTCTGTGTGGCCGTCACGCCCCACACTCAGGACGCGGCTCCTGTCGGTGTGCAGCCAGGCCCAGGGCAAACACACGGGCGCCGTACGAGGTGGGGTGCAGGCCTTCTGGTGAGTCCACGTCTCCCCTAAAGGTTTGCTTTGCAGCTTGTGTTGCTGTACTCGGTAACGCTCTTTCATGGGAGGGAGTGGGAGCCCGTGTTAAGCTCTGGCTTTCCTTCAAGACTTCAGGGAGCCTGCATGGCAGGGTGATGCGCAGTGTGGTCGAGGGGCTGACTCGGGGCCTGGGGACAGGCTCCAGGAAAGGTGGCCGCTCCCTGGGGGGTAGCTCAGCCTGATGAGGGCATCACGGAGGCAGCGCCATCTGTGGGTCCTTCGTTGTGTTACAGAGCTGAGTCCCAGAAGAGGACAGACTCGCTGAGGTCACTCAGCAGGCCGGGCATGGCCGCATCTGCTCCGTCCAGGGTTCTCCCTCGGAGCAGGCGCAGTTCCGGACGGGAGTGGAGGTGGGAGACACGCGCCCCTCAGGGCTTAGTGACAGGAAGTCGCTGTTCGTCAGGTTCTTTGTTCTCATTTTCCTGATTGCAGCCAGGGCTTTGGGTATGTGAACTTCATGCCAATTTTTCTTTTTCTTTTTCAGTTCAAATTAAGGATAACCCAGACCCTGCTTCTCTCTGAAAGTGGCATCTGATCGTGCAGGAGCTCCGCCATGCAGCCGCCGCCGCAGGCTGTCCCGCCCAACGTGGTGGGGCCGCCTCCCACGGGGAGCCCTCCAAGCATGTTCTGGTCCGGCAGTTCATACAGGAGACAGGCGGCGGCGAGTGCACCGGGGGCTGCGGTAACTGGCCCCCTGCAGCCGGTAACGGACCCGTTCGCTTTCAGTAGACGGGCACTTCAGAGCACCTCACTGGGCAGTTCGTCCAAAAGCAGCCCTCCTGTGCTGCTGGGCTCGGCCCCGCCAGCGTTCCTTCCGCCCCCGGGTCTGCCTGTGCCTCACACGGATGCTGGGGACAGCTCCCAAGGATTCCACGCGCCTCTGCCGAGACCTCTGTCGCAGCCCCGGCCAGCGGCCAGCCCCTTTTCCAGTGTGTTGACCCCTTCGGCACCTCCTGGGCCCGAACTGAACAGGAGCGCCCAGGCCACTTCCAGCTCTGAACACGAAACCCAGGCTCAGTACATTCCAGGAGGGGGTTCCAGCACTTCTCATGGCGGCCCCCCACATGGGCACCTGCCTGGGCCTGACAGGCCCCCGAGTGGACAGAACCCTCACGATGGCGCTGCAGCACCCACCGCGTCCTCTTTCTTCCCGCAGCCACATCCGCAGATGCCAGGGCAGTGGGGGCCGGCCCAGGGCGGCCCACAGCCCTCCGGGCATTATTGGCCCCGCCCAGAAGGCCCGGTTGCCAATGCGGCACCGCAGGCCTCCAGCGCCTCCCGCCTCCCTGCTCTGTCCAGCCCGCCTCAGGGGCCTGCCCACGAGCAACACCAGCCTCCCGCCCCAGGACCTGCGGTCGACGGGAAAGATGGGGCAGCCTCACTGCAGAGTGGACACCACTCGGCAAGTCCCTTTGGCCTGGAGAGCACGTTCAGGCAGAGTGTCCGCGGGGGCAGTGCCGGGGCCGGCCAGGAGGTCAGGCCAAGTCCCACCGTTAGTCACGAGCAGGGGCCACACCCTCCTCTCGGGAACCCCTCCGCCCAGGGCAGCAGCCAGGAAAGCCATTCGCATTGCCCTCTGGGCAGCCGCGCCCTGCCAGAAGCAGACTCGGGCACGCTCTCCCTGTTCTTCCGAGGCGGAGAGATGGAGAACGAGGAGTCCCTTTCCTCCGAAAACACAGGCTCCGCGGCTCCGTCTTACTTTGACGGTTTCTCCCCCAGCCCTGTTCTGGGCCCTCCTCCGGCACATGCGGGCGCAGGCGGTGGCTACCAGGCCTTTCTCAGAGCCTCCCGCAGCGAGGCCGCACAGCAGGGAGGAGACATGCAACCGTACTTTCCTCAGTCTGCGGGCACCCAGCTCGCTCAACCAGCCGCTAAGAATGCTGCTGCTGACATGTGGGGTGACACGACAGGCGCAGGCACTCATGACGCTGGCGGCTCACACTGTGAGAATGTGGAGAACTTGGAGTTCACTCAGAACCAGGAGGTTCTGCCAAGTGAGCCCCCACATTTGGATGCCTCCTCCCCAGGCGATCACCCCAGATATGCACCTCTTCCCGGGCCCCCAGGCCCCAGGCTCAGTGTCACAGGCCACCCGGCGGGCGGGGGCTCCAACCTCGAGGCCCTGGACGCGCCGCTGCACCCCGTGCGGTCTGATAGCGTGTCGTCTAGTTACAGCAGCAAGAGCCACAGGAGTGCGTCCAGCACAGCCAGGCCCCAGGACCTGGGCACCTTCATCCAGCAGGAAGTCGGTAAACCCGAGGAGGAGGCTCCCGGGAGCTTTTTTAAGCAAATCGATTCTTCTCCTGTGGGAGGCGAGACAGATGTGACCACCATGAGCCAGAATTACCACCACAGCCTGTCCCAGCCCTTGACCCCAAGCCCCCCCAAACCTACAGGGGTCTTTCAGACGAGTGCAAATAGTTCTTTTGAACCAGTGAGATCCCACTTAGTTGGAGTCAAACCAATTGAGGCAGATCGTGCCAACGTGGTGGGTGAGGTGAAGGGGAGCCATGCCCACCAGAAGCACAGACCAGCCGCTGTACCGCCCGACGCCTGCCCTGGCAACCTGGAGCAGCCACCAGACAACATGGAGACCCTCCTGCCACCTCAGGTCTGCCCTCTGCCTCTTCCCTCGCCCGCAGAAGCCAGTCACAGGCTTTCGCACCCGGGAGGGCCGCCCTTGGAGACGGTGCCTGCGACACCGGAGAAGAGGCCCTGGACCCGGGCCCAGGGAGCCAGGAAGTGTGAGAGCCCAGCCACGACTCTGTGGGCGCAGAACGAGCTGCCAGACTTCGGGGGTAACGTCCTGCTGGCCCCCGCCGCTCCTGCACTTCACGTGCCTGGGAAGCCTCAGCCATCCGAAGTGGTTCAACCTCCAGACAAGGGGGTGTCCGGCCAGCGGGCCGGGCCGCCGGGCTGCCTCGCCCCTCTGCAAGGCGCGGAGGGCATTGGTGCTTCTGAGAACCTGGAGAACCCTCCCAAGCTGGGGGAAGAGGAGGCCCTCCTGTCACAGGCAAGTTCTGGTTATGCCAGCCTGCTGTCCTCGCCGCCCACTGAATCTTCGCACAGCCAACCAGTCTTGATCGCTCAGCCCGATCAGAGCGCTCACCTGGCTCAGCCCCTTCCTTTTCCCGTGTCCTTGTCCCATCCCACGGAGAAGACCCCGTCCTGGAGAGAGGCTCGGGTTGGGGACAGGTCTGCCGGAAGCAGCCGGGCCGCGGGGGCTGATGCTGGAGAAGCCGCGCCTCTGTCTGGGGTTCCAGCCAGCGCGCTCACCTGCTCGCCTCTGTCTCACAGCCTTGCCCAGAGTAACTTCCCACACGTTTCTGCTCTTTCTGAAACGGTTTCCACTCCACCTGCTAATTTGCTGGTTCAGCCACCATCTCATCCAGCTCCAAAGAACTTGCTTCCAGGTCAGAAGAGCCCCAGTGCCGAGAGTGCGCTGCCGGAGTTGGTTAGTAGCCCTGCCGGGAGCACAGGCCTCCTGCTGGTGGCGCCCGCAAGCGACGCCTTGGGGCCTCATAGTAATAAGGCAGACCCCCCCAGGAATCGGGAAGAGACTTGGGGAGCCCTAGACTTCACGCTGAATGGGACCGTGGAGAAGCCTGTGAGGATGGGTAGCCTGCCCCATGCCGATGGCCCAGCTGCTGCTCCGCAACCCACCCCCAGTCCTCCCAGTCAGCCTGGGCCTGCGGCACGTGACCCAGACCGTTTCTACCAACAGGTGACGAAAGGTGCTCCCAACCAGCGTGGCCCCGAGAGAGCCCAGCAGGAGCCAGCTCCTCCCCCACCAGGGCCCACAGCAGCGCCTTTCGAACCCTCCAACCCAGAAAGCCCACCAGCACCAGGGCAGCCCCAGAACTCGGCCCAGTCACCTGCCAGTCCGGCTCCTGCGGACCTGGGCAGCCGTGCCGCCGGGCCAGCCGTGGGTGCCGCCGCAGCCCCTGGACTTGGCGTCATACTACTATTACAGGCCCCCGTACGACGGCTACCCGGCCCAGTACCCCTCTCCATACCCACCAGACCCGGGCACAGCCCCGCTCTACCAGGTAGGCTTGAGCTCAGACGGTTGAACCCTTTGACCAGCGGTCTTTCCTTGCGAGCTCCTTGGCAGGGTTCTGTGGGTTCAGAAGTGACCGGTGGGCACTGCCCGCGGACGCCGGTTCTGGGCACTGGGTGTGAGAACAGTGTTCCAGCCACCACTGCTCTGCCACGCGGCTCATCTCACGAAGTCCACACGACGTGTTCGTGCATTGAATTGCGGAGATAATTTTAATCCTCATGTAACACAGCGCTCCCACTTGTGGGACAGGAAAGCCCTTTGCTTGTGTGGAGCCTGTTGGCTGTCCTAGTCCGTTAGCTCTGGCCTGTAACCCAAGTGAAGCCGCGAGGAGGGTGAGAGTCCATCAGCTCCTCCCAGGCCTGTGGAGGCGGCACACAGGGCCTCACAGCGACGGTGCGGCAGCTCCCAGTGTGGTTACCTCAGGTTCTGCTGAGTCCTGCCTTCACTGGAAAAGGGGATTCCAGGTGGACACGTTTCCTTATTACCTGGCTTTCCTCACCTCTAGTCCAGGCCTGGGGTCCTCCAAGGTCAGCCGAGGCGCAGGATGGTGGGCCAGCGAGGTTGAAAGCACGGACTCGCTGCAGGCAGAGCAGGGGCAAGGGCCGATGGCTGAGCTGGGGACCTTGTGTTCAAAGAGGTTGGGTCAGGGCTGGGCCGGGTCGGCTGATGGGAGACTGTGCCCTGTTGTGGGCCCCTCAGCATGTGTGTGTGTGTGTGTGTGTGTGTGTGTGAGTGTGAGTGGTTGGCTACACCTCTGACCACTGACACCTGCGAGTGTAGGTTCCCAAGGACTTGACTCCCATAGCAGGGAGTTCAGCTCTGCTGGGAGCCCGGGAGGCCCAGGGAGCACCCGCCGCTCCAAGGTCCTTTGTGGGCGCTGCGCAGCGCCCTGAATTTCGCCTGGCGGCACCGCTCCTGGGGGCCAGCGCCCTCTGCCTTCATCTCCGCCGCCCCAGCTCCCAGCACCAGCCAAGGAGTGTGTGCCAGGGAGTGGCAGAGAGTCGGGCTCTCAGACATGAACTGATTCTGCTTCAGGTCCTCACATGGCTGCCCCTTAGAGGCGGAGCCGTGGCGATCGATGATTTGGAAGAGGCTGGATGCCTCTAAGAACCAAGTACCCTCCCCCTGGGCTGCCTGTAGCTTCAGGACCAGGCAGATGGAGCCCTGGGTCCTTGGCTTGCTTACCTGGGATGGTGTCTGGGGCAGGGCACAGCGTGAGTCCCGGCACCTCCACATTTGAGACCTCAGGAGGCAGAAGCCTAACAGCCCTCACGAGTTGCCATGGCTCCGGGGTGCCTGCTGCGTGCTGGCCTCCCCTGGGCAGTCCAGGCTGGGG